TGATCTATTTCAAAAGCAAACCAACCCATTTAATTTAGCCTGAATTGAAGGAAGGACTAATGCTTCCAGCCTATTGCCCCGAACACATTCATGATGTTGGCTAAGGCTGATCCAGGTGGCCAAACATCACATCTGGAAGAGCAAATGTTTCCAAAAGGAAATGATAGGCAGACTGAAAGAAGGCACTGTACCTGCATCTGGAGTTTAGCATCTGTCTGCAACATCTTCGTTTTGGCTTGTGCATCAAAGATAAAAGGATAAGAGCACAGAGTAACAGAATCCTGGAAAGAAGGAACAGTTCAAATGAAAGGTGGCCGTTTCAAATTCCGGTAAGAACTGCTTTGGCAAGAGGAGCTGGAATATTTACCTGCATGATAGACTGTCTTACTTTCTGTGCAAGGGAAAAGGGAGAGAAGAAAAAAGAAATATAAACAGCATGAGTTTCCAACAAGCCTGGCTGTAGCCATTCAATTTATCTCATTCTAACAATCACACATACTCGTGGAAATAAGATTTAGCACTATCAAAAAGTGTTTAAATTGGGGTTTCCAACTTTAAAACTTATGGACTTCAATCCCCAGAATTCCCCAGCCAGCATGGCTGCCTGAAGAATTCTAGGAGTTGAAGTCCATAGGTTTTAAAGTTGCAAAGTTGAACACCGCTGGTTTAGATATTCTCAGCCTTTTAGAAGAACTGGTTAAAAAAATGCCAAACCTCACATCTCCTTGGGACTGGAGGCTAAAACATATAAAAGACAGTTGCTGGAAGTGAGTATATCTAGTTTAATGAAAAGGACTGGGACCCCAGCAACATGCTGGAGTCTTCCTTGCTGTATCATTATGGGATGAAGATAACCATCTTTTCACTGTGCTGTCTCTAATTTTCTGGCTGAATATAGAAACAGGTTAGTTAAACTCTACAAAGGCTTCCATACAAAGTTTGTTTATTGGATTATATTAGGCATCCTCAAGGTATAACTCGCAGTTATGTTGAGATTCATCTAATGCCCAATCTTTGCATAGTCGTCTTCATAGTGTGAAAAGATGGTTATCTTCATCCCATAACGATACAGCGAGGGAGGCTGCAGCACGATGCTGAGTCCAGGCAAAAGTGAACAAAGGCTTCCCCCAACCCAACTAGAGGTCAATTCAGTGACCAATCAGGATTTCAGTTGTGACCACATGACATGAACTACATCTCCCATGAGGCATCAACTACATTTCCCATGAAGCATTCCCTTAAGGGGACAGCTCCCAATTCCCAACTAACTATATACCGTCTAACCAGCACACTAGAGATGACATGATAGCAGTGTTTCAATACCTCAGAGGTTGCCACAAAGAAGAAGGGGGGGGGGTCAACCTATTCTCCAAAGCATCTGAGGGCAGGACAAGAAGCAATGGATGGAAACTAATCAAGGAGAGAAGCTACCTGGAATTAAGGAGAAATTTCTTAACATAACAATTCAGTGGAATGACTTGCCTCCAGAAATTGTGGGTGCTCCAACAACGGAAGTTTTTAAGAAGAGACTGGACAGTCACTTGTCTGAAATATTATAGGGTCTCCTGCTTGAGCAGGGGGTTGGACTAGAAGACCTCCAAGGTCTCTTCTAACTCTGTTGTTTTGTTACATTCTGTTCCTTTAATTTATTAACTACTACTTTGCTTCTTCAACCTATTGCACATTCCCCTTAACTATTTGACATAGTCCAGGTAGTCAAATCTGGAAACAAAATTATATGCACACAAGTAACTTGCATAAAAACTTTTTTCAGAATTCACAGTTGGGTGATGTTTAATTTTGATTCAGGGTACACAGAACATTCTAATTTAACTAGTTCCTGGAGCACTATTCAGCTTGGCAATTAAAATGAAGCTTCTTACCACTCTTGCTTCATGCAAAAACCACATCAGGTAGTCTTCTTGAATATCTATCAGATTAGAAATCTCTGGGATATAAAATTTGTCATATTCTATGTGGTTAGCTTTTTGATTTACCTGATATGGAAAAACAAACAAACAAAAAATCAGAATCACGCAATAAATTTCTTCACAGAATTATTGCAAATTCCCAAAAGGAGGCTAATTGTAAGAAAGGAAAACTCCACCAGATTTGGTTTCCCATTAAGTTAATATCCTCTACAGTAGCGGTCTCCAACCTTGGCAACTTTAAGCCTGGTGGACTTCAACTCCCAGAATTCCCTAGCTCTGGGGAATTCTGGGAGTTGAAGTCCGCCAGGCTTAAAGTTACCAAGGTTGGAGGCCCCTGCTTTACAAGAAGTCCTCAGCTTATGACCTCAATTGGGACCAGAACATCCATTGCTAAACAGGGTGGTGTCAAATGAGGCGTGTCCAATTTTACGACCTTTCTTTGCCATGGTTGTTAAGCAAATTACCACAGTTGTTAAATGAATCTAATAGAAATACATGACAGTTGCCAACACCTGGATTTTGATCCCATGACTATGGGATCATGGGGATGCTGCCATTGTCGGAAGCAGTCATAAGTTACTTTTTTCACTGCCACTGTAGCTTTGGATGATGGCTAAACGAATGGTTGTAAGTTGAGAACTATCTATAGTTTGCATATCAATTTGCACAACACTTTTTTTTCAGAATCAACACAAAAATGAATTCCTGTTTTCAACCATTTCTCTGTTCATTGCACATATTTTTCTCTAATAAAATAGCGCATTTATTCATTATCTGCCCTCAATAAATTTTATTTTTATTTTACTTTATTTTTTGTTTACCAAAGGATCTTGTACAATTTGGAAATATGTAAACCCTGACATTCCTTCTTTCATTTTTCAAATAGATTCAGGACAGGCAAAGAACAACAGCAATCAAAACACCACTAAGAGTCCCAAAATCAATTTAAAGACAAAAGTATTCTAAAGAAAATCTATCCATGTTTTGGTTGAGAGTTAACATGGACTTGATGGCACTTAATCAACCAAGCAACCAATCAATTTTTCACTCATTTAATTTAAAAGGGGCATTTACTAATGATAGAATTAAAAAGCAGTAGACACACACACACACACATACACAAAATGCAAACGTCCAATGTACAAATGCTTGGTGGAAAAACAACCAGGGGCATCACCATCATTAAAGAGCAATGTACACAGACTCACAGAACTATTTTCTTACTTTGTGTAATTTCTCCAGAAGTTTTAATGCAGCTGTGATGTAATTGCTGTACAAGACTGGGACCTGGAGTGTCTTTTTCCCATTCAAGAGATAAAGCACGGCATCTTTATAGAGATCCACTAGTCTCAAGAAATACTCTGGGCATACCTGAGACCACCAGTTTTCTAAATAAAATTACACAAAGCGAAACGGGTTATTGATATCAGTATTATAATAGTGGAAATTGAATGGAAAGCCAACATGATGGCTGGCTGGGGGATTCTGGGAATTGAAGTCCACCTATCTTCAAGCTGCCAAGGTTGGGAAACACTTTCACAGATCCTGCAGATAAAAAAATGAGGGGAGCAGCCAGATCCTAGACCAATCTTTCCAAGCTTGGCAACTTCATGTGTGGACTTCAACTCCCAGAATTCCCAGCCAGCCACGAATTGAAGCCCACATATCTTCAAGCTGCCAGGGTTGAGAAACACTGATCTAGGTCAGGGGTGGGATCCGACCGGTATAACTACTGGTTCGGTGATTTACGATTTGCTAGGAAATAGTCCTATATCATTAAAAAGCATCCTTCCCCCAGGTATTAATCAGGCGACAGCAATGCACACATATTGCAAAGGGGGTGTTAACATATCTTAAAAGGGACAGTGGAATTTGGCACCATTTCCTTCACTATTTTGGAAATCATTCATTTGGTGCCTCCTGCTTAGCTTCTTGATTCAACATTCAACTGTTTTATATTTGTTTTACAAAGGAAAGATGAGGGAATGGTAACTTAGAAGAGATCCGAAGGGCACTGGATGAGACGATTTGTATGCATTATTATTGTGAGGTTAAAGCATCAGTTAAGGTTGTAAATGAGGATAAAAATGCAAGGGAATGGAGCAATTTGGAAGTGCCAACCAAAAACCAACTTCTAGCTGAAGAAGATGAGTACTGTGGATTGTCCACCACTGGATCTTTCAATTTCGTCTTATTTACTCATCTCTGACCACTTAACACAGACCTTTTTGTCCCCCCTCCCCTTGGAAAAATGTGTTGGTTGCTGCACATGCAAGTAAGTTTGAGGTGATGGTCAGGACAGGTAAAATGGAAGGTGATGTCATAAAAGCATCACTAATGATGTCCACAACCAAGGAAGACCACAATATTACTATGTGATTTCTACAGGGAAGTTCTCTCCCCGTTGTGGTTAGCTTGCAGCAGGTGCGAATGGCTGAGGAGAGCGAGGACTCAGATGAGGGGCCAGGACCATTAGGGAGTGGACTGCTGCCTTCAGAGATTGTGGGGGCTGGCAGCAGCGATGAGGAGGTTCCTGAGGAGCCTGTGCCAAGTGTGCGTGTATGCAGGATTACTCGTAGGAAAGAGCAGCTACAACAGTACGGGAGACTCGGGAGTAAGGCTGCAAGGTAATAGCCCCTCCTTCAAGAAGATAAAAGCCAGCTGTGAAACAAATGTACTTTGCAGAAGGCAAAGACGTTTTGAAACTCCAGCCTCGTGGACATTCCAGTATCCTGAGTCTGTATTTGAAGATTCTTGTATTGCAAATTATTTCTTGTCTGTTATCTTTCGGCAAGTCTTGCACAGTTTGGCAAGGCTTGTGCTTATCACAGCTAATTATTTTGCAAAAGCATTACAAGGTTTCTGTTCTTTTTGGATTGTGTTTGATTTGTTGGACAAGAGTGTGGGTCAGAACACCCCCAGAAAGTGCTGTAGTCATAGAAAACTTAAAGCTCTCACTCTCAACCCAAGTTAACCAAGGAATTTAAGAGAAAGCAGTCAGAAGACTTAACTGGGCTGAAGAATAAGTGGTGGTATTTCCTGGCATTTCACAGAGCTGATATAAAACCTGTTTTGTGACTTATTTTGTCCTCAACTCAGCGTAAGAGCCCACTCCCAGAATAGAGGAGCACATTCTTCTACCTAAAACTTTACTGGGATTTTTCTCCAGGCACATTATCGCCATTGCCAAAGGAAGCGTTAAGGTAACGTAATATTTTGAATCTTGAAAGAGAGGGCATTCCGGAAGAATCAGATAGATCCTCATGGCTTCAACATCTGGTGGGGAGCTAGGCAGCTGGGGGATCAAGCTTTCAAAGCTTTTTAAGATCTGGGGGAAAAAAGGAGAAAGAAAATTAGGCATGGATTATACCTCTTATTACTAGCTCTTCTATTATGCTTGTATAGTTTCTAGGACTTAATACAGGTTAATTCTGGTAGCAGGAATTCAACCCAAGAAACTGAAACAGGTAAGTTATTTACTTGGCCCTTTGAATTCTGTGAAGACATGAGGCATCTCAATTGTTCTACAATGGCATCCTTCAGTCTCAAGAGACTATGGTATTGTGCTCTGAAAGGAGGTCCTAAAACAGCATCTAGTGCGGCTAAAAAGGCCAATTTGAGAGTGGCAATCCCTTCCACACTGAGGACAGATACAGTCTGTCCCCTGCCCAGGCCCCAGATTTCAGTGGTTCTGGGACTGCCACTTTGTCTCAGCCTGCCAAATGAGTGTCTCTTCGAATTGGAGAAGGCCATGCTGCATATTTAGCCTCCAAGCTGAACGATCAGAGGTCAAGGTGTCCCAGCTGGCATGACAAAGTTCCAGAATTAACCCCAACAGTCTAATTTGCACTAATGAATTGATTCTTTGAAGTTTCCATTCAAGCTTTCCCCAGACATTCCCACACTCTACCACCAGGCAGCAGATCGAGGAAAAGAGTTTAATAATAATAATAATAATAATAAACTGTATTGTCATTTTACATATATCCAACGAAATTGATTTTGCTTCTGCTGGTGCTATCCATAACAAAAATACAACACAACATGAATAATATAGAAAGTGGTCGTGAGTTTGAGTTTTCTCCTTAAATAGTCCCAGAAGGAACTAGACACTTGACTTAATATTATTATTACAAGAAGTTTCAGTACCTGGTCACGCAATGTAGAAGGCTGAGATGTCATTAGCTTATTAAACATCACTCTGGTGCAATTCAAGTCAATCCCTGGAATTTTGGGACTCGTTTTAAAATGTTCATCTATTCTAGAAAAGAATATAAGCACATCTATATCATGTTTTCTTTGTAGGAGAGAATTTAAGCATGCAATGTACTGAATGTAAAACCAGCAAGCCATTATTTTAGCTTAGAATCTATAAGTATACACAACTCAAACTTCTCATACAGATACCATTTACCGGAATGAAACCTTATCCAAAGTAGTAAAAAGTCTCTGATCAGGAACGAAATATTAAGGCATTTTCATTTTTCTCAGGATTATTCTATATCCTAAATTCCACTTAGAATCTAGTCAGCTACAACAGTTTCCAAATGTACTGTATAAAGTTCAACTCAAAGTATTTTGAATTCAGAGCATCTTTTCCATACATGGAACAGTCAATGGATTCAAAGCAGCTTGAATTTAAAATAGTTCTTTAAAAAAAAAAAACTAAAAATACCCTTCCTTAATGAGGAGCTATAACTTTATATTTTCTCAAATTTAGGTTTTATTCCCTCCTTTAGATTTGCCCAATTTTGAAGGCAGAAACACTATCATACCGACAAAAAGCAAAATGTAGCTCTTGGCCCAGAGCAAACTGTGCCCACAAGAGGAATAAATGGATCAGTAATTGACCCAATTAAGAAGTTCTGATAGGTCTCTTTATGACGGAGTGGAACAAATCGTAATATCACCTTCATATCAGATATGAGGAGAATCTACAACATTACAAATAACGTAACAACTGTATATACCTGATGAGCTGTATTAGATGATGTCTCCACAAATTTATGTCTACAACATTTTGTAGTGAAAGAGCATTTTCATAAGTTGTCAGTATCAAATACCAACCTCATTTTTCTTACTGGTGAGCTTGCAAGTAAACCACTGAGTCAGTTATTAGGAGCTGCAACAACAGCCGATGTTCTCTTGAAGCGGAGGCTCCATTTAATCATATATTTTTACCAATTCCCTGCTAAAGCATGCAGATACAAAGAGCTAAACATAGCTTCTGAGACATAAGTACTATTGCCATAACAACACAAGACAATAGAAAATAAGCAGTTCCTGGAAGTCTATGTCAACCAGTCTGGACACATAGACCTCTGGCAACATGGCAATTCAGCCAAAATTGTACTCATTGCCCCATCCTCTCTACCCATACATTAGATCAGGGGTGTCCAACCTTGGCAACTTTAAGACTTGTGGACTTCAACTCCCAGAATTCCTC